TGGGGGCAATTTGTACACACTAGTGAAATGAACACTAGCTATAATGCTTCTAGCTGCTCAAATGATGTGGAATCTTGGTCCAGGGGTGGCAATGATGTCACTGTATGGTTCTTCCTGTGTCAGCTCAATAGCTTGCTGCTTTTTAAGAACCAAGAAGCTGTAGAACTTTGCTGCAGCTTGCTTTCTGTTTGTGTTTCGACATAACTCAAGCAGACTGATAGATTCAGCTCCAGTTTTAGCAAGAGCTCGCTGGAGGGGGGGGAAAAAAAAAGATAAATGAAAATGCCTTGTACAAGAACAATTTAAAAAGAATGTCAATTTTAGTTACCAGAAAATATGCACAGTATATTTGGTTGGAAGGTGGAAGTGAGACTTTTACAAATCACCATCATCATCATTCTAATTTCAAACTAAAAATTCTTTTAAATCATCTCTTGATTAAACACGTTAGAACAGATAGATCAGTCTTCACCAGCATAGTACAGTCTGATATACCATTACACTTCTGGACCATGAACCAACTGATTTTATTCTGAAGCTTAGGCAAGTTGATTTATACATTAGAAAGGCAAAGAGGGCTAAAACATGTTACAATATGGTTGGAGGATCAAATCTGAGGTGCATCTAGAGAAAGGCCTGTTTATTCACTTTCAAAAATGTATCCATTTAGAAACCTACAAAGTAAACATTTACTTGGATACATGGAGTCATCACAGGTTGATTAAAGAAAAAAAAAACCCAAAAAAACATTTCCTGTTCTAAGCACAAAGAAAGCAAGCCCAAGAAATAAAGCTGTTCCTACACATATTATTATTACTTGGAAAAGTAAAAGGGAAAAAGACCTTCAACTAAATGGACTGACACAGTGACTGCCCCAATGGGCTCTCGTATGTCAGAAATTTTGAGGGTGGCACAAGGTTTCAGATCTCTATCAGGGTCTCTTACCAGTTGTACTCGACTCTACAGCTCATAACAACAACAACAACAAACATTATTAAATGAGTAATTTCTTTAGATATCTAATGTCCAAATAGTAAAATCTAGCAGTTAACGTTTTCAAAATTCAATTTATAAATAAAAGACCCACTGTTTTTGTAAGTATGAGTACATACTACACTAACTCTCTGGTGTTTTTTTCCATTTTAGGAAGGCTTGAGCAATTTGCCAAGTATTTCACAGATGCTCAGACTATATCTATTAAGGCCTACGAGGCAAGTGATATACGAAGTTACAGAGTAATTCAACAAATGCAGTGATTCTGGATATTAAAACTGCACAACAGTTACAACAGGAGGAGGACGACACAGGAATTCCAAAGCAGGCTACAAAAGCAAACTTAAAAGAATTAAAAAGCCAAAACAACTGTGAGATATCATCTCACCCCAGTCAGAATAGCAAAATTTAACAGAACAGCAAGCAACAAATGCTGGCAAGGTTGTGGAGAAACTGGAACCCTTATTCACTGTTGGTGGAAGTGTAAAATGGTGCAACCACTGTGGAAGGAGGTATGGCGCTTTCTCAAAAAGTTGCAAATAGAGATACCATTTGACCCAGCAATTCTACTACTGGGAATATATTCCAAAGAGACCATAACTGACATCCAAGCAGATATATGCACACCCATGTTTATAGCAGCTCTGTTCACAATAGCAAGGAGCTGGAAACAACCCAGGTGCCTATCAACAAACGAATGGATAGAGAAGCTGTGGTATATTGACACAATGGAATACTACGCTGCATTGAAAAACAAGGAACTCATTCAATATTATTCAAAATGGGTGAGCCTGGAGGACATTATGCTGAGTGAAATACCTCAGTCGCAAAAGGACAAATATTGCATGGTGCCACTGCTGTAAAATGGGACTGATATCAGGGTGGGGTAAGACTGAGAAAAACTGGATAAATTGTGTATACTGCACTGAAACAGATGAGGGACTGAAAAATTTAAAAGCGATGTATGATAGGGTATTATGGTTATCACAAGAGTCCACAATTAAGGTTGCATAATAGAATTTACTTGGGGCTGTGGGAGGGGTGCGGGGAGGGGGGGTTGTTGTGTACCAGGGAGGGAGTCTTTTACTTTTGAAAGAGAGAAGTGAACTGGGGGGGCAGGGGGGAGAGGGCTGGGCGGGTAGAGAAGTGCAGCAATCAATGAATGGAAATCCAAATTCTCTGTAAATGTTCATTAAAATTATTTAAAAAATCCACAAAAAAAAAAATTAAAAAGCAAAGCTATTATTTTGAGGCCTCAGGTGAACTAGCTGACTCAAACCATGGTTTTTAGTAGCTTCATATCGGTGAAAAATGGACAAGAATAAAAACAAGAGGAACAGGTGAGTTTGAATGATGGTGCTAGCAAAGTATATAGAATACACCACTGACTGCAGAGGATGGATAAATCTGTTTTGGAACACATATATTCAGAATGCTCTTAGAATTAAGAATGGTGAGACTTCATCTTACATACTTTGGATCTACTGTCAGGAGGGACCAGTCCTTATACTTGGTCAGGGAGAAAGAGAAAGACCCTCAATGAGACAGACTGACATGAGGTGCAGCAACGGCTCTAACAGAGTGATGATTAGGAGGATGGCACAGACAGGCAGGGTTTCACTGTGTCGTACAAAGGGTCACCATGTAACAAAGCCATGACCCAATATTATGCAAATAACATGTTCTAGAATGTTTTTCAAACTGTTCAGCCTGGTCCTAGATTAGTTTTTTGTTATTTGTGCATTATATGTAGAAAAATATAGCCTAACAAAACATTTATTTGTTAATGTTTTAAAAATAATATAGTTTTCACAAATGCCTACACTCTGTCAACGTTAGAGAGAAACAACGCTATTAAGCATGTTGTGTACGCGCGGGCTGGCATACCTGAAGACCATGAAGCATCTGCTGAGTTCTTTTGTTCCATCTTCTTTCTTCTTGATCTTGATCACCCCCTGAAGCATCTTCATCCTAGACAATGATAAAAAAACCAAAACAGCTCTGCTGAAAAAGGAAATATTTCTATCATCTCCTGAATGTTCACAGCTGAAGATTGATTTTATATTTGAACTTATGGAAAATCCTATCTCATGTTGCGGAAAATCACTTACCATCTAGTGTGAGTATTACTGGCTTGTGATCTACTGGTTATTGGTTCCCATTAAGATTTTGTGCCAGAATATAAACTATGTCCCTGAGCACACCATGTTGTTAACTGGTATGCCATTATTAGCAGGATAATCTTTTAGATGATTTCTAGTCTATCTGAAGCTCTTAATGCAAACTAAAAATTCACAGAGAGAAGAAAAAAAATAAACTAAGTATGATGTGTTGTTTTGCATCTGGGGTTTTTCCAATGCACTATCACCTAGAATGCTGCTTTTATGTGCTCACAAATAGGAACCGCTCAGAGCTGTTCCTCCAGCAGGTTTTCAGATGCTAATTAAGTCAGATGAGGACACTGCCCATAGTTCCCCCAAGAGTAGCTGGTGGATTTGACTGTGAGCCTTTGGACTGAAGTCCAGCTCTTTACTAATACTCCACCAGAGTTCCTTACATGCTACGACAGCACGTAACAAGAAGAACGCAACAATTATTATGAGTCACCCAGCTATGGATCTGCCATTTAAAGACTCAACATCGAAAAGACATTCTAAATAAAGTGAGCATGGGTAGTAGCTGGAACAATTCCAGGTAGTTTAGAGCTAGGATTTCGTAGTATCCTGTGTAACAGCAGGTACACCACCGTTTAATGCTGGTTCAACACTAAGTGTGATATAACTGGAGACCCTAGTATATACACTGGCTTTGAGGCTAAAATTTGGGTTCCAAACAATGTAGTATTTATAATTATAATCAGCACTGAGTAGTGCTGAAATTTCTAGGGCCAAGAAGAGAAGGACTAATTTGAAAGAAGAACAGACGTTAATGAAACCATGTTTATACAGGTTATAGTCATAAAACCTGTAGCTTTACAAGTTAAAAGTTCCTCCTATGTTATATGGAAGATACTTTCAATTTAAAAGTTCAATAAAGTATTCAATTTTTTAAAAAAAATCAATAGGTCTTATAACATCCAAGTATTGTAACATCAATGCAGAAATAAGGAGAAAAAATTTTAAGAGCCAAAAACGATGGCTCAAATTACACTCAGTCTATTTTAGCAAAGTCATCTCCACTTCAATGTAATTAAAACAAAAACGCCACACAAATAGATTTGATTTGTGGGCTGTAGGTAGAGGTTGAGGTTAACAGCAGGAGGAATGAAGCAATGACCACAAGGTAATAAAAATGAGCCAGGGAGCAGGTCTAAACGCCCACAAGGGAGCCAGTGAATTAAGACACAACATAAAATCTGATGGCCTCGGTTATCGATGATCCCACTAAGAGCTTAAATCTGTTTGCATTCATTCTGATGACAAACATCCCTGAATTTCATTAGCTTCCACATGAAAAGTAAAGGAGTAGGACTTTTTGCTAACTCTGGAATGGGAATCCATCAAGTATTTCTAACAAAGTTTCCTTACCTCCTCCTCCTCCTCCTCTTCTTTCTCTTTTTCTTTCTCCTTCTCTTTCTCTGGCAGAAGTTCAAGCTCTGGGATTAGCTGACAGAGATTTGGAGGCTCTTCTGGGGGAAGCTCCACAGGAGGTATTTCTATCTGTTCTTCCTGCTGAGGCTTCAAATAATAAAACAAAGGTAACTGAAGATGTTCCAAAGTTAACATTTTAAAAATACGCATGTACATAGCTGTTAATATGAGGATGGAAATACTGCAATTGTATTCCCATAATCAGTATACTGATTATAGTATGTATCTTGTTAATTTTTCACCTTTATTAAAGCTACAGTAGTTTAGAAAATGTTCCTATTATCTTAATTAAAAAAGATTTCATTTAACGCTTACTTTGTAGAAATCAAATGTTGTTACTGTTGTTATGTGCCGTCGAGTCGTTTGTGACTCACAGCGACCCGATGTACAACAGCCCTAAACTCTGCTCTATCCAGTGCCAATCACATTGCCTCTGACACACCCATTCCGATTACCCTAGTCACTGAATCAATCCACCTCATAGAGGGTCTTCCCCTCCTGCACTGTCCCTCCATCCTCTCAAGCATGATGTCCCTCTCCAAGGACCTGTTCCTCCTTACAACATGTCCAAAGTATGTCAGACGAAGCCCCAGAATCCTTGCCTCCAAGGAGTAGCCTGATTTAACCCTCTCTA